GTATGTGTGCTCGTGGGGGAGGGGAAGGGAAAGGGAAGGGAAAGGGGGAGGGGGAGGATTTAAGTCCAGTCTACCCGATCTTGACCGGCGGCTCTGTCTGCCCCGAAGCCTCTTGGAGCTTGTCCGGGGCTTGCGTGCTTCGTTGGGATCTGTAGGGGCCTGTACTGGCGGGTGCCGTACTAACACGCAGCGCCGTACTATTTGGGTTGGGGGGTTACGTGGCACAGCACTGAGATTGGTACTGGTGTTTATCCGGCGGAGTTTACTGTACAGAGTGTATGTGTGTGTGTGTGTGTGTGTGTGTGTGTGTGTGCGTATCTCTGCATGTATGTGGGTGTAAGGTGTAGAATCTCGGGCGCCCCCTACGTCCGAGCAGCACTGAGGGGCCCCAAGGGCACCAGTCTAAAGCTGTCGGAAGTAAAAACAGCTAATACAACAACATGCTCAAGGAAGATTGTTTAGTAGAAATAGTCTTCAGTTGTGCTGCGCAGTTTGTTTTTGTTCCCTCTGATGCGTTCCCTCTTGTTGGTGCGGGTCTCTTGGTGCGGGCAGCCCCCGCGGTGTGTGAACTGCCTACCCCGTGCGGTGCCTAGGGATATACAGTTCCCTCCCCCTTCCTTGCCCACATGAATTTGATTCACATATCCAATTCGAGAGCATCTCGTTGCCTGGTTTGTTTGTTTTGTTTATCTTCACAGGCGTCTTGGACTCGAACGGTTCGAATGCCTGGCATGCCGGTATGCAGTTCGCGCCCCTGGGCTATGCGGCCGCATCGCGCATCAGCAACGCCCTAGGGCCTAGCGCCCGAGGTTCCACAGCCCCCGACAGCGCGGATAATATGGCTAGGGCTATGGGTATGGAGGGGGCTCCGGCTTTCATCCCGTTCTTTGCCGGTGGCGAGGATAAATCGGCCGTCGTGGCAGCGGCAGCGGCTGCACCGGCAGCGTCGACGGCGGCGCCCGGGATCAGGGGCCTAGTTTGGTTGACGGGACAGAAGACCTTTCGTTGACCGTTGCTGGCGGCGTGTCCATCGGCGGCGGCGTCAGCGGCATCGTTGACCGGGTTGTCAACCGCCGGTCGCCTCTGTCAGCGGCTGGGTGTGTGGCGCAGCAGACAGCGCCGACGTCGAGCCTGGCGGTGGTTTCGGGCTCATACGCGGCGCTGGTGAGGGTGGCCCTTCCGTCAGGTGCGCGCGTGCCGATGTTGCGAAATACGCAACGGGCCGGCGGCACCGCTGGTGGCGGCGTTGAAGTGCCGTCAATAGCTGCGCTGATGGCGGCGCGTGGGTCGTCCAGGTCCGGCAGCCCCATGACACCCGCTTCCGCTGCGCGTGGCTCCACCGCCGCCGCCACCGAAGCGGGGGCGACGCCGTCGCCGACTTCCCAGACCAGCAACGTCCTCCTTAAGGCCGGCAGCATCATCAGCGTACCTTCCGTACCAAAGAGTACCGCCGGCGGTGACGGTGACGGCCCAGTCGATGGAGGCGTACATGGTGACGGCGACGGCGGCGGCGACGGCGTGACGCTGTTGCCGTTCCATACACTTGGCGCGCTGGCGGCCGCAGGGGTCAGCGACGCGGCAATGCTAAGCGCTGCCGGCGTTAGCGGCGGCTGCACCGCTGCTGCTGCAGCCGCCGTCGCCGGCGGTGGCGGTAATAGCGGGACAACTGTTTCAGGCCCCAATGGCTTGCTAAACTTTGGCGCCAAAGGAGGATTTGGATCCATTTTGCATTACAACTCTGGAACCAGGGAATCAAATGCCGGCGGCGCCGCCGCCGCCGCCACCGCTGTCTCCGCCACAGCACAGACCTTGACGACTACCTCAAGGTCTCTGTCGCAGAACGCTGTTGCAACGGACAGTCCGGCGGCCCAGGAGGCCACACAGCCGGACCAGCAGCAACAGTCGCTGCTATCGTCCCCGCCGTCGCCAGAAGCGGCTTCGGACCTAGAGCGGCGGGCTTCTGGAGCCGGACATGACGGCAGGGTAGCGGCGCAGCAGCAACAATTGCCGCTGTGGTCCCAGCGGGTAGAGAAGCATCCGCGCCGGCAGCAATCGAGGCAGCACCAGCAATCCGGTGCCATGGCGCTGTCCGGCGCATACAACGGCATGCCGCTGCTGCCGTCGTACATTGAGGGCGGCGGCATCGGACCCGGCTTTGGCGTCATCAATTTCGTCAGCGGCGCCATGGCGCGCTCCCCGACAGGGGACGATGGCGGTGTGGGGGAGGGTACGACAGTGCAAAGCGCCATCGGGGCGGACTTCTCCGGGCTGTCGTACCCTCTGGATGTACGGCTATGGATGGTTCTAGAGTTCATGGACAAGGGCAGTCAGCAGCTCGGTGCGGGGGGCGGGCGGGTCATCACAAGGGTTGGACCAGTTGACGGGTTGAGAGCGAAGGGGCGCAGTAGTCGCGCAAAAAGGGGAAACTGCCTCCCCCTCCTCCTTCCCCCCACCCCCTCTTCCCTCCCACCCACTCCGCGGTCGGGTGCGAAGATGATGACCCTCCTCTGAAACGGGAGATACACGCACAATAATCACATCCGTGTATCTCCTCTGTAGCCTCTTTCACCCAATTCCCACCTTTTCCCGTCCCACCCGTCCCCGTGACTTCCGACTTGATTCTGAACATAGAATTCCCGCCCACCCCTTCCCTTCCCTTTTTACGTCTTTTGCCTCTCCCTTACCGGGCTGCCGGTTATGGCGGTTCCGGGGGATGGTATGGGATGTGATGGGATGTGTGTCGCAGGACGCGATCGACCGCGGGTGGTTGCGGGAGGGCCGTACAGCCGACCAAGCTCCCGACTACCCGGCCGTATTGGCGACAGCGCAGGAGATCGCAGCGGGGGTGGCTTACCTGCACTCGCATGACGTTGTGCATGGGGACTTGTCGGTGAGTGCGTGTGTGGGTGCGCGCGTGCGTGCCCTTCCATTGTCTTGTGTGTGCGGATGGTTGCGGGTGGGTGTAAGGATCTGCGGTGGGTGTGCATGTGCGTGTGTATGTGTATGTGGCTTCTCTTGGGGTTTTGTGGGGTTGATTCGTCTTCAAGTTCCCGCCGTCCTTCGTCGTTGGTTTTCCGTCGACGTCGATGTCTTTCGCGGTTTCGTTGTCTAAGCGTGTGTATATGTGTGTGTATGTGTGTGAGTGTGTATGTGTGTGTGTTTACGTGCCTTACTGGTCTCGCTCTACCGGAGACTTTGTTCTCTGCCTGTCACCGGTCTGCTGTCTCGCTGTGCAGTTCCGTTTTCCGGGCGATCAAAAGTTTTTTCTTTTGCCCCATACAGCGCCATGAGCGTGTTTGGCCGTGTTGGAGACCGCGGGTTTCGGCGGCGGTGAGGTTCTTAACTCCGCACCCGACCCCCCCCCCCTTTGACTCCCTGGTTCGTCTTTCCCCCCTCCTTGACCCCCCTCGGGTGCCACCCGACACCTCTTAGGCGGTCAACATTTTACTTCAGTCTGTACGGCAGCATGGCGATGGATCCAAGAGCAACGGCGAGCCGGTGGACAGCTCGGGCCGCGGCTTTATCGCAAAAGTGAGTGTAAATGTGCGTGCATGGATGGACAAGTGCATATATGTGTGTGTGTGTGTGTGTGTGTGTGTGTGTGTGCGGAATTTCGCCGTTCGACCCCCCGTGGGACCGCCCCTAATACAGAATGTGCTGTTCAGCGGCAGCCACCCGTACGTTGCGTTTCCCTTCGCTATGCTTTTCAAGAACATGTAAACCAACATACATACACACATACATACATACACACACATACACACATACACATACACATACACATACACATACACACATACACATACACACATACACATACACACATACACATACACACATACATATGTATATGGATGTATATATGTGCATATTTGGTGGTTCATTTATTCTTTTTCCGCTCCCTCCTCTTCCAGTTCGCCGTCCCCTCGTCCCGCCGTCCCGCCCACTTTCCCACTTTCCCTGCAGATCAGCGACTTCGGTTTGTCCATGCAGCTGACGCGCGCTGACCAGGCCATCAAGACGGGCGCCTACGGAACCATCACACACATGGCGCCAGGTGGGGCTGCCGTCGGGGCCTTGTGGGGGAGGCTGCGGGGACGAGGACGGCAGGATGGGAGGATGGGAGACGTGGAAGCGGCGGGGTGAAGGACCGGACAAAAGTGAACCAGCCAGGGCGTCAATATTAGCTAGATAGGGATAGAGCTCAATACAGGAGAGCCGATGGATGGGCGGAGGGGTGCACAGCGGTGGATAGATCGCCGTTGGGTCGGGACTAGGAGAGGTCACCAAGGGGTTGGGGGTGGCAGTGGGGGTGGCAGTGGGGGGGGGGGGGCAGTGGGGGGCCCAGTGGCGGAGATGGTCCGGAGCTTCCCTGCACCGTCAGGTGGCGGCTGCACGGCTGTGTAGCCGCCATCTGGCTCTCTCCCCCCTGGGATCGGGGGGACCGGCCCACCTGCCAACTACCTGTTCAACCGCCTGTCCAACCACTTGTCTAACCGCCTGCGCATCCACACGCATGGCCCTCACCTGTACCTAGCTCCGGACACCAGCAGACACCCGCAGGCGCCCTCCGCCCTCCGCCCTCCGCCCTGCAGCCCACCCACTTCCCAGCTCCTCCCTGCCACGTGCCTGGACCCGACCCACGTGCCCGTCTTTCTCCCCCCTCCCCCTTGCTGTCCACCAAGGCCTCCCACATCCAGGAAACCAACAGCGGCTCTTTTTCCACTTCTTCCCCCGAAGCCCGCGCCCCCTTGCATGCACACACGCACACACACAGTTACACACACGTACACGTGCACGTGCAAGCCTGTTCGCTAGGAATTTCTAGCACGTCGATGAAGTGCTTTACTTGCTTCTGGGTTAAGTCGCCATTCCTGTACCATGCCCTCGCTCCAGTTCCTGCCCGCAGCTCAGATCATTAGGACACACACACACATGCGCGTGCAACCCCCCTCCTCCTTCCCCCTCCTCTCCCCTTCCCCCAAACGCACGCGCGCACAGAGGTCCTCCGCAACTCGGTACTCTCAAAACCCGCTGACGTGTACTCCATCGGCGTGTTGCTCTGGCAAATGGTGACCGGCAGTCGGCCCTGGGCGGGTCTTTCCCATCTGCAAGTTAGTGTGGAGGTGGGCACCCACATGCGCCAGCTGCAGTGGCCGACATGGGTGCATGGCGGCGTGAGGCTCCTTGGCCAGCGCTGCATGTCGCCACGACCGGAAGAGAGGCCCACTGCGGCACAGATGCAGGCGGAGCTGGCAGAGCTGTTGCGTCAGGTACCGCAGTACGGCTGAGTACGGCATGGTGTAAACGTAGTACGGCAATGTACGGTGATAAGTACGGTGATTTACGAGTCGAGTTGGACATGATTGGGTTGGGCATTGCTGGGAAGAGGAGTTTGTGAATAATGGGCGGAGGGCAGGGCGCAGTGCGGCCAAGGGGAAAGATGCGGGGAGCGAGCGACTTGCTGAGAGAAATCGCGTGCGAGCACAGTTTTGAATTCTCCTTCCAAGTGACATTGCCCAGCGCGTATTACCAGCGATTGCATTCCCACTTGGCGTGTGCCTTGCATACGTACGTATGTATGTACGTATGTATGCATGCATATTTTTTGCTTGCAGAAGGACGGTTGCATGCAAATACATAATGCCCAGTCATGAATCGTTGTTTCCCGCTACTGCTACTACTGCTGCTGCTACTGCCACTGAATCATATGCTTTCGTGGCGACATTACTAACCACTTTGTGGTGCAGCTGTGTTTGATTTGTTGTCTCTGTCTGCCTGCATGCCTGTCTGTCTGCTTGTCCGTCTGTTTATCTGTCGGGACATACACGTTATGTCCGCTTCCGCCTGTTCGACAATCGGCTGTCGGGTCGTGCGACGAAGGGACGGTTGCCGCGGATGGTGATTCCAAAGCATAAGCTTAATTGCAGCTGCTATTTGATTAACCCATAATAAGGGAATAAAGGTACGCATAGGCAATGGGCGTTCAAGGACAGGCGAAATAGATAATCCGCCAGTCCAACAGACAGACAGATACACATGCAGATAGGCTGACCTGTGGTGAATGGATTGCCCCTATGCGCGCCCAGATGAGGATCCGCGCACTATATTTATGCCCTTACGTGAGTGGTGCGCATACGTGAGTGAATTTGTCGAATGTAGTACGGCACCGGCGCAAATCCGCACGGCGGCCGCTGGCCTCTCCCCGTGTCGCATATCGCCACATCTCCGGGCCGTCGTGCGGCGGGGAAGAGGGGAATAAGAAAAGTGCGAACGAACGCAGGCATGACCTTTCCTCACCCGCAGCTGCTGCTGAGGTGGGATGGTGATGTGTACATATTCATGTATGTAAGTATGTATGTATCTGTGTGTGCTGGTTGGAAAGTAAGGAGGATGGAGCCGTGTAGGCCCGAATCACGCTAAGTTGGTGTGTGTGAGCAAGCGTGTGATCTTGTGCGTGTGGGTAACTGCTTACGCGTGTGCAAGGGAAGGGGGAAGAAAGGGGTGAAGGGAGGAAGGAGTGGAAGGGAGAGGGTTGTGAAGTGGGAACATTGGTTGTCGGCATTGCGCAAACGTAGCTGCAACGCGTGATGAGAAGGCATTTATGATGTGCGCATGTGTAAAGGTTACAAGTATCTGACCGGGCCTGACACTGGCCAGGGGCTGCTGCCCAGCCCCGACGGAATGACCTCGTGTGTGTGCGTATATGTGTGCACGCATGGGTTTGTTCGTGCATGTACGTGTATTATCCTTATTGTTCGTGTCGTGGTCTGGGTTGCGGACATACTTCCATGTAAAGTCGCGGTTGTGGTGGTGGAGACGCTGCTGCCGCATGTCAACTCGGGTATTAGGGCCGACAAACTGTTAATAAAAGAATTTTGTATGTTAGGGGGGTTATTCATCGCCGTCGGTTTTGTGGCTTCAGCTATTATACCAATGAAAAGGAATTGGAAGGAAGATGCTCGTTAATATTCATATGTGCGTTAGGAGACGAATTCGAGGAATCAAGAGAGCTGAGGATGCTGGAAGCAGGGGGTGCTAGTTGGTGGGTATGGTATACTGCGGTGTATACTGGGGGTATACTGCGGGGTGTCAGGGTGCTAGTTGGTGGGTATCAACTGTAGTTCGGATGCTGAGACGAGTCCCCATAGTTCTCCCCTCTTGGGTCATGGATCTCGAAGTCACATCAGGCAAAGAGTTATCGTGGCATTTTGCGTGGTCATATGCGGCGTTGCTTCGCCGAACCTAAAGTATTGTTCAATGCATGTTAGTCCTGCTGTCATTATTATTATTTTCATATGTTGATGCTGAAGGCATGTTGACTAATGCGTTGGGAGAAAACCCTTGCAGCCGGCAGATGTAAGAATGTAAAGGTGGAATACCACCTGTACTACCATATCCAGCGTCTGATCCCCGATCAACTTCTCTTATCCTCCTTTCCCTCAACCCGGTGGCACCATTGCATTTGCTTTCGCAGCATGCACATAGCCCGGCTCCCTACGAGGTGCTGTCCCCTGCCAATATATGGCTTGAATCTGTCACATGACGGTCCCAGGTACATGTGCTTAAGGTTAGATGGTTCAGGACGTATAACCTCACTCAGCTAACATGAAATAGCCGACCGCGCCGCCAACCTTTTCAGACGCAAAGCAATCAAGGGCGCTGATACCTATTTCCCATTACAGAGCTGCAACTTAGGTATTTTTTGTTCCACGTGCAGCGTGAGGGACGCAAAGGAAGTGACACAAAAGAAGAGCTCTGGATTACACAGGCTCCCAAGCCAGAGCTCCGTTATCGCCACCAGAGCGGAGAAAGTGGACGCCAGTATCGAAGCTCACTTGATGCTTTCTAATACGGGCCTCCAATAGCCCATGTGTCCCGCTTACTTCGACCGCTGCCGCATCTTCCGGCGCTTGCGCTTAAGCCGGCGCATACGCTTCTTCCTCCACTGCAATGAAGAGGGGCAAGAGTGTGGACTTTAGCAGCAATCCAAGTAGGCCAGCAACAAGCAATAGGAGCCTGGGCGGCGCCAAAAGAGCAATGTACAGTCTATGAGAAGACAGCTGTTAGGCCCTTATATTTCACAAACACTGACCTTAGCGCGCATTTTCGATGGGGTCCCGAAGGGAGGATGAAGGCGCCACACGCGACTTTGTACCACTGTCAATGTGCAAATTGTGTTCTCCTGGAGCAATGGAAAAAAGGGCCCCTAAAACCGGCTAGGCACACCTCATCTCTTTTATTTACTTTTTTGCTACTTTTCAATACTAAATGTAATCTTGTGAAGGTTCCAAAGGGCAGCCGCACAATTCTCTGTCTCTTTGGCTTGAAGTCCCGCCATGTGCCTATGCCACTGGCTATAGACTTGGAATAATAACCTGCAGTCTGTTGGGTCCGTCTATGCTGATGAGGACGCAAGTTGCGAAGGCAACTTCAGGATGTCCTACACTGCCCGCACCATATGGAACTATGCTCCCTAGCAATGGTTAATTCGCCGGGTCAATCCTTTTACTTTCAAATTACTCCAGACTTCTGATAAAGCTTACAGCAGGAAAACTTTAGAGCTGCAATTCCCAAATTGTCAATTTTCTCGGACACGGCTGCCTCAGATTTTGGATTATTTTGCAGCCAGGTCAGAAATATTGCTTACAGTCCAATCGCTCCTGATGGGCATGGTTAACTGTGCAGGCCCTGATCGCATGCAATCTTGACAATGGGAGTAGCATGGAGGGCCCTAAACCCCTCCATCGACAAGTTATTTTTGACAAACTCCCAGCTCTGGAACTCTGGGAAGTATGGCAAGTTGCACGCCATTCGTTTTCTTTTTACATGTGGTGTGCAAACTCCTAAACATAGAGAAGATTCACGTTCCACAAACGAGCTCCCCTTCTTATTTTCTACTCGACTTGCGCTGCTCCATCCATAGCTTTGACGCTCCGCCATCATTAGAAGATCCAATGCAGTGCGGTAACGAGAGCTCACCACACAAACCGCTAGCCAGCACAAGCTTACACAACAGGAACAATACCAGTGAGATTACGCCCCACGGGCGGCGAGGGAAGTGTGCAGGCGCCTGCACGTTATCCACTGCGACGCTCGTGCCTGCGACTGCCGAATTGTGGGCTGACTAGCTTGCGGCGGTCAAATCATCATCAGTGGTTACACACTTGCTCGTCATCAGCGTTTGCATGATGCCCAAAGCAATTAATGCCCCCTATGCCACTGCTGGGTTGGCGTGCCAGTGCAGATTCACATGCAGGCCATGTGGTGCCGTGCCGCGCAGAGAGCATACATCCGCGCGCGTGTCCCAAGGTCATGCTCCGCCCGACGTGCTGCTGACGAGTGCTGGCTCCGAGCGTGTGATCCAATCATCGTGGGGCCCGGTGACACCTAACAAACTTTTTATGTATAATGGTGAAATGTAGAACAAAAGCATGGCCAGGACGTGTCGTGTTGTGCGCCGTGGGTCAGCAGCCGTGTCGTGCCAAGCATCGGTCACAAAGTGCGTTGGCCAGTGGCAGGATGGGAGGAGGAGATTTGGTTCGTATGGATGCGGTGAGCGCGCGTGGGGATGATGCCACAGTGCGCACCAGGCGATGATCCTGCATGACAAAATGAGTGCAGACGGACCCGCGGCAAGATGTGGTTGCGGTGCCGCGTGAAGCAGACGGGAATTAGTCTGATACCTGCAACTGATACACTGATGGGCGCCGCCGCATCGTTCCTGTGTGGTCAAAGCATGCCTCACACACTCCAAACGAACCCATGGTAACAGAGCCGAAACCATGAAACAATGCACACATTTCACTGGACGTGGCCTGGACAGGACGAAAACTGCCCCTCCAATCCCAGCCTACACTGGGCAGGCTGACGTGCCTCTCCACTTACCTGGCTAAACCCTGGCAGCAAGTCCACATCCGGCCAGAGGGCATTCATTCAGTCAACCCCCAGGCCCTGGGAGGAGCACTCCATCCCGTCCGCACCTGACACTACCAGGCGGCGCCGCACATCCCAGCGTCGTCGGGATTTTTAATTGCCCGAAGCTCCGTAGTCGCCATGCGCCCCGCCCTGCGTAACCGCGTACTGTGTCGCCCCACCCGTTGCCGGAACGATGCCCTCCCGCGTGTTCGGCGTCTCAATCATTCTACGGTGAAGCACCAAGGAAACGTTAGAGCGAAAGAAATGCAAGGCTACTGCAACCCTACATGCAGGAAGCTAACGCATACGCACTAAAGAGAACTGGTGCACAGCATCTTCGGTTTACATGGCCCCGAATTTGCAAGGAGGAAAGCTTCATGCCAACCCAAAGCGCCTCATGGCCACCTGTCAATACCCGATAGGATAAGACATGCCAACTGAAAGATTTTTTTATAAAAGACCAACACCCCACCCGTTTTTGAGTGCCGTCCCACACCAACAGCTGCAGGATCCCACCACAATCCCCTCTGGCTGGCCCTTCAGGAGCCGCCCACCGACCTGCCGTCAACATCGCGCTTCCGCCCGAAGGGGTTTTTGGAGTACTGTACGCGGATTGGCCCGCGGTCGCTGCAAAGCAGGGACAGGGTGACATGCCTCTCATGAACTGAACAAGGACGTACAATCACAAGCATGCATGAACCAATAGCAAGCTGACATAGCTGTCGACATCCACGGAACAATGCCAATGACAAGCGAGACTCATGGCAGCTTAAGCCCAGGCCCACCTGCTGGCCAGCACCGCGCCCTGCTGCGCTGCGTGTGCTGCCATGGCAGTCGGGACATCGTCGAACTGTGCGGGCGAGAACGTAGAGCAGCTGACTGTTAGTTCATTATTTGCAGCACGCGTTTCACAGAGCCCTGTAGCATCCTGGAGTGGAATGGAATAGAACAAGAAATTTTTGATCGTCGTCCTCACCTCCACAAAGCCCAACGTCGCCTTTGGGCCTCGCATGAGCTTCAATTGCCGGAAGCCCTACACACGTGCAAGAGGCCATTTATCCTTCAAGCTCTGCAAACATCGAGCACTCCAGCAAAAGGTTAACACCCGTGTTCCCTACCGGAGCACCCCCGAATAGGTTCCGCAACTCGTTTTCATCCACTGTTTCCGACAAGTTTCCAACGAAGAGGGTGTTGCAAGGGGGGTTGTCGTCGCGAGATCCACCATCACCGCCGCTTCGCGCCCCAGCGCTGCCATACGAGGCCTGTGGCCGACCGAAAGCGGGTGCGGCTCCAGCTGCACCTGCGGGGCCTGCCGACGGCATGAATTAGCGGCGTACGGTAACAACCGGATTTCCTTTTGCTCCTCATTCAAAAATGAAGAGCCCCACTAAAGAAGCCAGACCGTTCCAACTAGTTGGTTAACATGGTTACATATGACATCACTGCAAAACAACGCCACACCCGCAAACCGCTAACAGGACTAGCACACAAGCGTCGACATGTAACATCGTCAAGCAGATACCCAGGCGCAACATCCCCAAAGACCACATTTACCCACCGGGGCCTCCGAAGCCTCCAGCCTGTGGTGCATTGGGCCTGGACCGCTTGTTTGGCTCCATATCCCGTATGTACATGTTTTTGCGGGCCATCTCGCATCTAAGCGAGCTGTTCTCGTCGAACCTAATTTTTAGGCAGGCGAGGGGGCAGCAGCGGATACTATAAACCTGTATGCGGGCTTCTGTGTTCACGGAGAACGTGGATGTGCAAGGGAGGCTAGGCTGACCACCCATGACAATGCGAAACCCAGGGCAGCTGAACCCCTACCCCCCTCGTCAAAGCACAGCGTGGGAGTTCTGGCCGCCAACCCATAGCCCAACCCTTTTCCAAAACTAATCACCTGACGTGCTGGAGCTGGTCACATGCAGCACGTGCCATTGCTCCCGTGTTGAACAGGGCGAAGCCCTGTGCTGCACCCTTGCTGTAGTTCATTTGCGAAGCCTGCTGTGCGATAGTGTAATAAGCAGCGCAAATAATACGCAGACGTTAGAACGACTCTATAGCGGGCAAGTGTATTGAAATACCCGCGTCAAACAAGGCCCGAGAGATTTGATCTCAACGGAGACCACCATACCGACCGCTGACATTGCTTCCCGGAACCGTGTGTAAGATTCAGTTTAAGGATCGGATGCTGCAGCGGCCAAAAGACGAGGTTTCAGCGTGGTCAAGCCCACCTCATAGCCTGGCAGAAAACGAAGCAAATTATTGAGCTCACGCTCCTTTACATCCGCCGGAAATCCAGTTACAAAAATTGTCCGAACTTCCTCCGAACCCGCGGGGCCAGCCGGAAAGCTCGGTGGTGCTGCTGAAAATGGGGGAGGATAGGTGTAAGGCGGAGGTGCAGCATAGTTGCTGTAGGACGGTGGCGGATGCCCATAAGGATCCGCGGATGGAGCCCCATGGTTAGCAGGTGGCTGATAGCCTCCGGCATAAGGTGGCGGCTCGTAGCTCATTGCTCAGGAAAATGGTAGACAGGAGGCGGGCAAAAAGCTGTTACAATTGGCGATGGGACAAAGACCTAACCTAGATGACAATGGAAACAGGCTAAACTCTTCACTCCCTCGGTGAACCTGACGATTGACTCCCAAGCAGTACGGAGCGAGGACGAGCATCAATATGCCTTGAATCGCTGTTCCAGCACCGCGTAGGAAAAGCATACACTGTTTCCGTTAGGCAAAATGAATCGCGCATGTGGGATGCTAAACCGCACCGTCCTCAGGGGGCGTGCGCCTTTCAGCGGGGCACGGATGCTCATTCAACCTAGGCCCATGCTCATCGCAACTGCAGCCACAGATGGAACCTCTACCTCAGCAACAGTTACTCCTAACATTGCCGACCTGGCGAAAATGGCGCAAGTCAGCATTTCGGAGCAGGAGGTGCGAAGCTTACGCGCCCACCTGTCATGCCCCACAGCGGTGCCCTCACCCTCATCCTCCTCCTTGGCCTAACTGCATCACCCCACAGGCGGCCGACTGGGCGCCAAAAATCAGCAGCGTGCTTGACTGGTGAGTTGGAGAGCTCTTCGGTGGGGAATACGTTACCTCTAGACCTTGCACACAACTTGACCCCCAACATTTCACCTCTTTTAACTCTCCTCCACCTCCCTCCAGCCTCCAGCCCCGCATGAGTGACATCTCCCCTCAAGCATCAAGCCTCTCGGAGTCACTCAAACACCGCTTGCAACCCCAACCCCTGTCAGCAGGCGCACCCCCCCGTGCGCTCAACGACCCCCAACCCCTGCACCGTGCACACGTACATCCCCACTCCGTGTGACAACGATCAACACCTACCTTAAGGTTGAAGACGCCCATAAGGCCACGCGACGGCGACGCGAACACCTCACCCTCCCCTTTCGCACTGAGTCCTCCGCTGAACCTCGGCATCAAGAACCTGAACCTCAACTAAAGCCCGACGGCTATCAGACGACCCTGAGACTGCCTGCCGTTGCGCCAATCGGCCACGTACCTGATGACCCTCCCAAGCCCCTTCATGTCCCATAAGTCGTAACACTCACCCATCACCTGAATGACGCGCTCCCAGCGCATCTGCGCGCCCTCACAAACCCAATGGACTCATTTCACCTCCGCACGCCTAGCCGAGCCCCTCATCCATCACGCCTGTCCATGTTTTCCAGCCCAGCTCATGCGCCAAGACCCGTCAGTCATCCCGAACACACTTATAACGCTCTGCCACCCGCGTGCGAATCCTCGTACACATCCTCGCTCACAATCTTGTACAACCCTTCGTACACTCCCTTCGTACACAAACCCATACAAGCCCAACCCTCGTACACAACTTTGCATTTTGCACAGCCCATCATGCCTCCTTTCCTTTCGCCGCCGCACACGCCCACCACCGCAACGCAGGTTCGGCCAGCTGCAGTCCGCGGACGTCAGCGGGGTGGCTCCCGCCATCCACGCCTACTCGGAGGGCAACCGCCTGCGGCCCGATCAGCCCAGCCACTACCCCGCCAGGCGAGTCTAACGGACGACGCTAGCCCGTGCCCTGTGAGGCGTCCTCCTCCCCCACCACCAGACGGTCCGGCAGTCGTTACTCGTCAGTTGCTGCTTGACTTGTCTTCCATCAAGAACACACAGTCAGGGCCCTGTTCTCTGATTCCTTTCCTATCCTCGCCCCAGCAGGCCTCCGCAGTGTGTCATTTCGCAGTCTGAACTCCCCCGCGCTTCGCAGTCCCTCCCAACCCCCCTAAGCCAGTGGTTCGTGATACCCCCCTAGGCCCCAACAAACGGGCGTACAGCGCCACCACCGCACAGCGACTGCCTGGCGATCCCCAGGTTGTGAAAAGGAAATGTACTGCTCAGCATCTTGCGCACGTTTGCTCATGCAACAGCTCATGGGGGCCCTTCCCCGCCGCATCCACATCCACCACTCTCCCCGGCCCTCCTCGTCTCGCACTAGGATCTCGCCCGTGCACACTGCTAACCGTCACGATGGTGCCCTGCCACAGATCTCGCCTGTTAGCTCAGGCACCTCAAATGGAGAACTTGTACGTCAGAGTGCCGAAGACGGCGGGCGGGGACGGACAGGGAGAGGGCGTCGCAGCGGCGGTGGCGGGGCCGCCGAAGGTGGCCGCGGCCGCAGCGACAGCGGCTGGCGCCGCCGCCCCTGCTGTTGCTGCTGCATCCGCTGCGGACAGCAGTAGTAGCAGCAGCAACAGCGGTAGCAGCAGTGGAGCAGGCGCCCCCTTGGAGGCCGTTCATGCACTGGACATCCGCGTGGGCCGCATCATGAGCTGTGAGAGGCATCCGGATGCGGAGAGGTGCGGGCCCGGCCCGGCCTAATGTGTGGGGTTTTGAGGAGAAAGGGATGTGGGGTTGAGGAGGAGGATGTTTGGCGGAAATATTGGGTGGCACTAGGAACGGGGTTGGTGCGATTCGCGTCGTGGTGACCGGAGGGTTTGGCGGGGCTGGGCGGGACTTGGGCAGACTGGGAGCGTGACGGGGTTGTCGACAACAGCCAACTCGCTGACCAGCTGGGGAAAATCGATCATGCCCCGCCCCTCCCTCGCGACGCCATCCCTCGCAACCACAGCTTTTTTTGCACGCGCACACCCCCCCCACACACACGCGAGCGAAAGAGAGAGAGAGAGCGAACGCGAGCACCCTTGCCAAGCAGCTTATTGTCGCTCCCCCTTTGCAGTCTGTATGTCGAAAAAATCGATGTGGGTGAGGCCGAGCCGCGGACCGTTGTGTCGGGGCTGGTCAAGTACGTGCCGCTGGAGGCGATGCGGGTGCGCGGAGCGGGGGGTCCTCGGGGGTGGGGTGGGGTCATCAGGGCTTGCTGAGAGGTATATGCAGCCGAGGGGACCTGGGCGGATGGCGAGAGTTCAGGGAGGTAATAACCGGACCGTGTCGATCGGTGTTTCTTTGACACCATGGGAGGTAGCGGGGGAGTCGGCTAGGCGGGATGTGGCGAAGCTGCTGTAATGGCGGCCCCCTCTCCTTTCCTCTGGGATTAGTCGACAGTGTTAGTCCCTAATCCTTAATCCATTTCACTGTGTAACGCCCGCACCACCACCACCACCCCTACACCCCCTAGGACCTAGTACACCGGCAGTTCTCTTCCCGCTTCTCTCATACGATTACCCCCCCCCCGCACACACAACACAACACACACATTTCATTCACCCGGCAGGACCGGATGGTGGTTGTGATCTGCAATCTCAAGCCGCGCAACATGAGAGGCATCAAGTCCTTCGGGATGTTGTTGGCCGCGTCGGACGAGCCGCATCTGGTGGTGGAGCCGCTGGTGCCCCCGCAGGGAGCCCGGCCCGGGGAACGGGTTTGGTTCGGCGAGGACCCGCAACAGGTGTGTACAGAAAAAGAAGGGAACACGGGGGTTTACGTTTACAGTTTTCTTCGGGTTTTCACGGTTGGGTTTTAGCAGGGCAAAGACGTACCTTTGATTAACACGTACCTTTCCCCGGCCATGTACTGTACCGAATTTCCCCAGTCTGCGCCTGCGTAGTGTCCGTCTGTCCGGTTTTCTCTCCCTCACGCCCTCCCTCACGCATTCTTCGCTTGTTTCTTTGGGGGGTATTGGGGTCGGTGTTGCAGCCCGCCGCTGCTGACGCCAAGGTGCTGGACAAGAAGAAGTTCTGGGAGGCGGTGCAGCCGCTGCTACGAACCAACACGGACTGTGTGGCGACGCTGGCGGTGGGACCCCAGGGGATTGCCGCAGCCATGACCACGAGCGCGGGGCCCATTCGGTCGACTAGCCTGGCTGGGGCGAGGATTGCCTGATGACTGCACTGGCGTGCGTTTTGTGTGTGGCTTGCTGCTTGTGGTTCTTCTCTTGTTGTTGGATGCTGGGAGAAGAAGGCAAGGGGGGGATCCTGCAGAGATCGGACACGGCCGAGGATACTGCGAAGGGGCAGGGGCAGGGGCTCTCCCGGGTGGCGCGACCCTAGGTGACTGGATAGATGTCATCTCCGAGTTGGCGGCCGGAAGAGAGAAACGGGGTGTGCGGATGTTGGAAGATGTGTTTCGGTGTGTCGCATGCGGGTCGGGTTGCTCTATTGGGGACAGTGGCAATGGGTTGGCGAGAAAGCAGTCCCCTCCTTCCTGCAGACCATGGAAACCTGGCGGCGGTGCGGAGGAGGAGGAGGAGGAGGGGCTGTGCAGTCGGGTTGGTGGGTTCGAGGCGGGTGTTAGCATGCAGGGTGTGTACCGCTGTGGGGTGTGTTCATGTCGGGGTACGGCCCTGACCCTCGCCATGATACGGGGGGGTTGGCTGGGGCTAGGAGCTGTTTGGTTATGGTCGTCTCACTCGGTCACTCAATCACTTGGCCGGACGCACTGCCACTGTCGTTGCCTTTGTCGCTTCATGGGAAGAGGAAAAGACAGCCGCGGAATGCCCCGCGCATACCGATCAACTTTGCTCACACCTGGGATGAAGAACGCCGTGATGTCATGGCGATGTACGGCAGGCTTTCAGAAAGAAAGCTGCCAGCAATGCATGTGGCCGGATACAATATTACCTACCTGCTTTGGTGGTGGTGTCGCCCGTCAACGGTCCATCCATCCAGCCACGTGTCGTCACTTGCCAGCAACCCCTAAGCCTGATGTTGTCGTCGTACATTTGTTGATTATGACGTGGGTGAGAGGCTGCTCATGATGCGCTTCCCCGACAGTTCACGGGGGAAAGGTACGCAGGTTCTCCAGCAACAGGCGTTCGTTTCGCTGCCCTTTTTCCAGAAAGTTTTTTGGTTATTTGCAGCATGGTTGCTGGGTTCTGATTTCGAGCCAGGTGGCCCCCTAGGAATTTCCCCCCGTCATGCATCCGAGCTACTCTTTATCTGCGCCGTTCGTGTCCTCCCGACCTCATCCTCAGCCGCCTGAATCAACTCATCCCATCCCGTAAGTGCACCAGGCAGCCCCGCTGCACCAAGGCCCGGAAACAGTCACGTCCACTTGCCGTACGAACAGATAACCCCATGACAGCCGCTAGCATATCCGGCTAGCGATGAGGGTTGGTTCACTGTCCCCCTTGCAAGTTATGCATCCTGAAGAATTCCCTTTAACGCCCACGGCTTCATCCTATGGCAGAGGAGGACTACGAGGGACATAACCCCTGAATTCGATGCACCGATGCCCTGCGCCAATGCCAAAGATCGAATGTGTGCAGGCGCCTGTATTTCGGTGGCAACGTCCACTTCGTCTTAGAGTCTTCAGTCCTCGTCGTCTTTATTTCTTACCAGATTAAGAAAAGTTCGCCAACCCCGACTGACCGCCCATCGGCTCGCCTGGCTTCGGTCATCAGGTCATCGTCCCACAAGGTCTCGAATAGAAGAGATTGAGACGGGAGAAGCAGCAGCGCGATCTGAACGTCTGCATCCTATAAACAGGTATCAATTGTTCTTCGCCCCATATGCCGACAGACGCGATCCAGCAGATAACCACCATTCCGGTATCAAAATCCACCGGAACCTTCATAATGTGGCCAAAAATATCTGATGCGAGTAAATATTAATAGCATTTTAGTGAGGTAACAGAGCCTGAGCGCGTGCGATTCACTCTCACCGAGGATTGTGTTACCAGAACGGTATGCTTCTTTGACACATGCAATCGTCGAGTAAACATAGTAACCATACTAGACCTTCCGAGATTCAGCCTTCGCGCCATTTCTTGAACGCGAGGGGCAGGCGTGCGCCTGTCAGCAGGACGCAACCCGTTGCCATCTGGCGCGCTGCTCCGGAGCAAGCCTCGCCCCTTCCGCCCATCCTTGAAACATTCAAAAATGAATGCCTTCTGCAGGTTAGAGCACCATCAGTTCCATGAACATATTGTGATGTCATACAAGGTGGTCGTAGCGGATATTAGGCAGATACCAGTAGAGGTGCAGGGCTCAGCCGAAGAAGCTGAGCTCCCTGCTTGGCTCAATTCCCCACACTCACTGCAGTCACTAGGATCCAAACAACGTCTCACAAACAGCGCTTCGGAGACCCCACCCGGTGGTGTCCGTTGCTTCCCCCGAGTCCTGAACCCCATGAAGACTGCACACACACATACATACATACACACACATACACACGCGCGCGCGGGCGCTTCATGTTGCATGTCCCGCTCCCTTTCCCGCCTACTCCCCCTCAACGGCGCAAACCGCTGTGCAGGCTCGTATCGGGTTCGGGGAGCGCGGCAGGGGGCTTTTCTTCGCTCCGGCTGGCCCAGCAGGTCGCTCCGATGGCTCCTTCACCACTAGCACTCCCGCTCCCACTTCTACTACCAATACTACCACCATCACCTCACCCCAGCAGCAACAGCTGCATCCAACCCCCCTGCTGGCTGTGCCCCTGAGCTGTTGTTTGGCCCTGGTAACCGGTCCCGGGGGCCCCGAGGGGCTGCAGAGGGAGCTCCTTGCCCAGTGGCAGGCAAGTAGCGGTGCTGAGAGGCTGCTGAGGGTGCGGAATTATAGAAGTTGAAGTCGCCAAGAACAACTGGCAATGCCCTGGGTTTGCCTGAGTTTTTTCGCCCTGAACCAGAGCCCAGAGCTAGCCCGGGGCCTGAAGAAATCTCCTTGGCCTCGCTTGCCCGGCTTTGCTCGCATGTACTCCTATCAATGCCTCCGGGCACAGCCCGAGAGGTAGAGAGAGATGGAGGGGGGTGTTCCGGGTTGTGTACAAGCAGGGGGAGACAGGCAAGCGGCCTTGTGGTGGGCCCTCGGCTTGGGCTGCCTCATATTCCCATCCTCACGCTGCCATGCCCGATTACCCGTATCATAGCGCGAATGCAGGCGTGCAGTTAATGTGTGCGTGTACTTGCTCTGGAAGACCTCGCCACACCACAACACGAGGATAGCAGGATCGGCCTCTCCTTTTCCGATTTGCCTGTGCTCCATTTCCTGCGAAGAGAGGTATCTGGCTCCAGCCCCATTCCGACTTCTTGCATATTATTCCCTCCCTAACCCTGCCGTACAGTCTTACTACGGGCTGGCGCTGCCCGACAAGCTGGTGGCGTTGCTAGAGGCAACGGAGCGCCCGCCGGCGCTTAGGTACGGGAGCCGTATGGTGCTGTACGGTGCTGTACATCATGTAACGTCTGAGCAACAAGCACGGTACTAAGAGAGCGCGCGCATGCACGAATCCTTTCCAAATACTATCCACAAGTGCTGTACGGAACACTTGCTCCGATACCACGCAACCCCGTTACCGCTATCCGTCATCGCCGGGACAGCAGCTCCAACAAAATTAAACCGCGTTTCCTGTGACTCAGGCCCCATCCCTCCACAGCTCCTGCTGTGCTGAATTTCGCACTTCCCGAACTGTCCCACTCGCGGCTCGGTAAGCCGCCTTACCTCACATCATCCGCATCCGCATCACCGTAGTGTAGCTTTGGCGAACTGCTAGTGGACCCAATCCTAGCAGCTGTGGTAGCTACAAGGGGGGGGTAGAACAGCTGTGGTAGCTTGACACCCGTTCCCCCCTGGTTGCGCTCATGTGCCTCTTCCCTCAACTCCGAATCTGTATCCTGGGGGGACCACGGGGACCTTCTGCCTGTCCTGCGCAAGACCGCAACCATATGGTCTTCGTGTAGTGGTGGGGTGTTTCCGCGGGGTTATCGTGTCCCACAAATTCCCCCCCCTTCACCTTCACCTTCCCTTTCCCCTTCCCCCTCCCCTTCCCCCTCCCTTCCCCCTCCCCCTCCCTTCTTTCCTCTCTATAATCCCAACTTTTCCCTTCCAAACTCCAACAGTCATCGCCGTGCTCTCCTGGCCGCCCTCCCTCTCCTCCTGCTCTTCCTCTTCCTCTTCCTCCCCCCCTCGGCCCTCCTCCTCACGCCCATGCCTCCCCAGGCTGGTGGCCTGGTTGCTGTGGGCCACACAGGTAGCAGCCCCTCCTAGCGGAGATCCCGGAGGTGATGACACAGGGGTAGGTGCGCGGGCGCAGGAAGGCAACCCGGAAGGTCAACAGCTACGGACCCGCCATCGCCTGTTGTCCGAGTACGCCCGGCACGTGCTTCCCCCGCCCAGTGCAGGGGCGTCCCTGTTGCGGCTGGCCGATGATCAGGAGCGGCAGTTACCCTGGGATCTGCGGGCGGCACTGGGGGCCGTGAGGGGGCAGGTGGGGTAGAGAGCAGGCGGAAGTCATATGCTAACGTCAGGAAGAGCCGAAGGTGGTAGGGGGGAACAGGGGGGGGGGAGGTTCAGGAGGCGCGGGAATATCGGGAGCATCCTCCTCGAAGACTGACCTGGGACGACGCAGGGGGGCGGCCCCGTAGTCCTCCTGCCCTCCCTGCGCCTTGCCTGCTTCCGTAAGAGCCAGGATTCAGAGCAATGTCTCATGGTGGGGGTTGTTGGTGTAGGTGCAACAAAACTGTGAGAACGCCAAGCTCCTCACCGCAGCTGTTTCGCCCTGCCGTACCGCGTAGGTCACGTCGTACATGTCGGATCTTCGGGGTGCGGGTTTGGATTGGGGCCTGGGGGAGGAGGTGTTATGGTGGGCTTTCGATATGGGTGAGTTGCTGCTGCATGTGTGAGGTGGTGTTGGGGTTGGGGTTGGAGGTGGCGTTGGGGATCCAGGAAGGGGTGGAGGTGGGGTTGCAGGTGAAGCGGGAAGGGGGAGTGCGATTGGTGGAATGAGGGAAAAGGGTTTGAATGGGTTTGGGAGACTTGTCTTGCCTTGTTGCGTGTCTCCTGGGTTGCCTAGGTGAGGAAGAAGGCGGCCCCGGGCAACTGGGCAATCTTCAAACCACCACTCAGCTTCAACCGTCAGTGGTTTGTCTTAACCCTCACTCTCCCCTTTTTC